GATCTGCTCAGGTCCCTTCCGATCCTACCTACTATGAAACTATGGAAGGGGGGAGGGCTTGCCAACTTCTCTGCACTGGAAATACAGCTTGTATCTTCCAGACATTGTTCCATGTGTGCCAGTTCCAGCTCCTGCTCAGTTGTGCAGTTTAATTCCTCTCTTTTGAAATACCTCCTTTTTCCCGTTTCTCCACCTGCTGCTTCTATAGATGTCAGCTACAGGTAAGGCCCCAACAAACAGCGTAAAAGCAGGTGGCTACCTTTTCAGGCTATCAAAAGAGAACCCCCGCTTTCCTGTTCGGACGTCTGCAAGCTGCATCTTCCATTGCATGATGGAGATTAATACATTCAAGTGCATTAGCCACACTGGAAGCCACTTGCCACCCTGGGCTGCCACCCTTTGTATTTGGCTCTGTTTTAGGTACTGCCACTGATGCACGTACTCCATGGCTAAAATGCTGTCTATGCTACTCCCCGTGGGACTCAGAGGCAGGGGAGCCGAAATGCTGACTTGCCCCAGTAAAGCCTGCTATCCTCCTTCCCCCTGAAGCCAGAAGAAAAGCCATCTTACTTTCAAAGTTGAGTGTTGCTGGGCTGTAGGGAAGCAAGATAAAAATCCAGAGTAAGATTATATAGTTTTAGTAGCAAACAAAATCCTGCTGAACCTGAAAGGTTGCCTGCTTCTCGGCTAAATGGGCAGCAGCTAGCATCGGCTATGCAGAAAACAATGTATAGAGCCTTGAGTTCCTGCTCGCCTTGGCAGGGGCCTAACATCAAGCCAGCCCTGCTCTGACGGGTGCCAATAAGTAACTGCTGCTGTTGCTGCTCTATTGGCTCATGGTGCTAAGACCCACACAGACTGGGGGGTCTGGGAGGGAAATCTTAATGTGGTTATGCAGAAGATTCTGTTTCCGGCAGGACGCCTTGATGCTGGGAGCATGAGAAAAAGTCAACAAGAAATTAAAAGTTGCATAAGCTGTGTCCATAGCCCTGGGGGCAAGCCCTGAACCCAGCCTGCTCTTTGTTTGCCTCTGCTGGTGGGTCATTTAGCCCCTTGATGCACCTTTATAGCAAAGCAAGGGCATGGCTGAAGCGTGAGGGTGAGGTTTTCAAGCTAAGGGCCTCAGGGGCCACGTTCAATACCCCATGATGCTCATAGCATGATTTTGTTCCCATGTTGGTTTTGTTGCACCCCCACAGTATAGACTGCTGGGGCTTTGAGTCTTCATGTACCAGGGACTCCAACACTTGGGCAGCTCTGAACCTTAGCTCCCAAGGGATAATCTCCTGCCTCCCTTTCTGCTTCCCTGCAGACATAGGAACTGCTACCGACTGCAAAATACTTGCAACAG